CTTAGGGGTCACGTGTACTTTTAAGTGTGATCCATGCTGTGTTTCCGTGATCTTGTTTTTTCTTTCTTTCTTTCTTTCTTTCTTTCTTTCTTTCTTTCTTTCTTTCTTTCTTTCTTTCGAGAGAAAAAGGTATGATAAACGTTAACGGGAAAATAGAATAGACTGGATTTGGATTTGCAAGCGGAATTTAAAGTCAGAATGATGGAGACATGAACGTTAAAGGAATTGTACCTTAATGATAAAAATGTGCTCATTAATATGTTTTTGTGGTGTTTTACAACAATCACGACAGCTGATGAGGTGAGCCAAGTAGGAAATTGAAGTGCAAATAAATGGAATGCCGTTAAGGTCACCCCGGGAGGCTGAGTTAGCTGGAGAAAGCACATTTTCTGATCATCCTTCATCGTAGTGCTCCCTATATCACTCTGTTTATCTCCTTTTTAAACCTGTCTTGGGGGCCGTTTTGCTAATCACCTCCATTTCTTAATAAGAGGCCCCCATTTTTAATATTTTTCTGCCAAACTTAAAAAAAATAAGCGTGCTGGTCGCAAATCAAGTGAAGTCTTTAGAACAATCTAAAAATAAATTAACAGGGGCGCCTGGGTGGCTCAGTCGGTTAAGCAGCCGACTTCGGCTCAGGTCATGATCTCGCGGTCCGTGAGTTCGAGCCCCGCGTCGGGCTCTGTGCTGACCGCTCAGAGCCTGGAGCCTGTTTCAGATTCTGTGTCTCCCTCTCTCTCTGACCCTCTCCCGTTCATGCTCTGTCTCTCTCTGTCTCAATAATAAATAAATGTTAAAAAAGAAAGTAAAATAAAAAAAAAAAAACAAAGTGTCAGGGTAAATTTGAGGTTTGGTGCTTTGAACTCAAAAGTGTATATTAATTAGTTGCTTTTGGTAGAAGACCATTGTCAGGTCTAAATTGATAATAGCCACATAGCAGCACTAATGTCTTCCTGGGGACAGTGTGGGATTAGGAAGAAGATTGGGAATGGTGGGGAAGCCTTTTATAGGAATCTCTACTTTATTTCACCTTGACCCAATAACGTACTTAGTTTCTTACCTTTATTGGTGGAGATCATTTTTATTATACTTTTCATTTGAGTTAGCTCTGTTTACAGAATGCTGCCAAAGTCATATTTGGAATTTTATTTAATTCCTGTGGCAAATTATTGTGGTCAATATAATACTACCGTTTTATATATGAGGAAACTGGGGTATTACACCTGGCTCAGTATTTCCTTCTTAGTGTGTCATAACATTGTGGGACATTAAATAGCTGTTATTTTAGTGGGTTGTTCCCAGCACAGAATCACCGTGGGAAGCTTTAAGGAGAATCGTTGCACAATAAAAACAGTAAGCTACCTTTAGTTGAATTCTGGGCTTTGAGGATGTATTTCAGAAAGGAATGTTTTGCTTTTTTTGTCACTTGTTAAATATACCTGACCTTAAACATATGTGTATAGATATATATAGATATCTATACATCTATATATATCTATACACAAACACACACACACACACATATGTATACATATACACACACAAACTCACCTGACCTTGTTTTTTCTCAACTTAAAGTAAGAATAATAGTCATTGTAATCCTTTGTGTTCCTCTCCTCAACTTTCTTCACTGTTTTCATCTCCTTAGAGCTACTTTGTTTTCTCCATCAGTTTCTGTTCTGAATTTTGGCACACGTGATTTATGTGGAGACAGCATGATGAGAAAAGAGTATCTAAAAGACTGTTTATTACAAAAATGTTTTTATAAAATTTCAGACATAAAAAACTGGAATAACACAGTGAACCCCATAAATCCATTATTCAGATTCAACAGTTGTCAACTATTGCCACATTTGCTTTGCCTCTCCCACAGTTATAAAATAAATCTTAGATTTGTCTGCTGCATCTCTCCTACATCAGTTTGCATCTCTAAAAAAAAGTACAGGGGTGCTTGGGTGACTCAGTCTGTTGGGTGTCTGACTTCGGCTCCGGTCATGATCTCGTGGTAAGTGATTTCGAGCCCTGCATTGGGCTCTGTACTGACAGCTTAGAGCCTGGGTCCTGCTTTGGATTTTGTGTCTCCCTCTCCCCCTTTAGATTCTGCCCCTCCCACGCTCATGCTCTTTCTCTCTCTTAAAAAATAAATAAACATTAAATTAAAAAAATACAGACATTACATACATTCAGTGCCAACGTCATACTTAATTAACACTGATTCTTTGATATTATCAATTATCCAGTCCATAATCAAATTTCCTGGTTCTTAGAAATGTCTTTTTATAGTTGATTTGTTCAACTCCAGATCAAATAAGTTCCACACATTACGTTTGGTTAAGGTCCAATTTTAAAGCAGATGCTTGTTAAGGAGCCACACGGAGAAGCCCTTACTGACCCAGCGATTTTGTTTTCAGCTGCCTGTAACATTCATTCTTTCTCTCTTATTCTAAACTAATTTTTTGTTTTTGTTTTTTTTGGGGCGGAGGAGCACCCCAAATTTGATATAATTGAGAAAGTATAAGTTTATATCAGAAACAAATATTTGAGGAGTGCCTGGGTGGCTCAGTCGGTTAAGCGTCCCACTTCAGCTCAGGTCATGATCTTACAGCTCGTGGGCTTGAACCTGTGTTGGGCTCTGTGCTGACAGCTCAGGGCCCGGAGCCTGCTTTGGATTCTGTGTCTCCCTCTCTCTGTACCTCCCCCCACTCATGGTCTGTCTCTCACAAATAAATAAACACTAAAAAAATTAAAAAAAATAAATATTTTGAAATATCAACCTCCACATTTGCTGGACCATATGATAAGAGTGGTCCAAAAAGGATCTTAACGGTTCCCTTGCAATATCCTTGTCCACCTAACTGTATGCAATTGTCCTGAATCCCCCAAAATAATACCAGAATCCTTGTGAGCATAATGTCCTGCTGTGTATCACCATCCTAGTATAATTCTACCTGGGATGTACAGCTAAGCGCCTTTCTCAAATTTTGGAGTGGAGGGGATAGAGCGTAACTGTCAGAAAAGCTTTTCCTAGGTGTTGCTTAATCTTAGTCTAAACCGGATTTACCAATTGCCAAAGTAAGCTTGGAAATTTATATTATTTCTGTAGGACAGTTTAGACTTTTTACATACAGCTCCCTAGACTCATCTGGGGAGATATATACAAATGAGTTTTCAGTTAAAGAGATTGCAGAGTCTCTTTAACAATGTGGAAAGTTCATCTCCTCATTATCTTTTTGAGAAACAACAGAGTAATATAAACATTTCTTGTATGAAATTGGCATTCCAGTTTGTTTAAAAAAAATAAAGGCCCTTTCTGGTACTTAGCTGGGCATTATTGACAAAGCTCTAGTCCTGTGTCAGGACTCGGACGTGTGGTGGTGAACTACACAGGGTTGGGGCATTCGTAGGAGAGCCAGCTTGTGCGTTAGGGCAGTTTCTGGCTGAGAGCAGTAAAGTCTGTAGAGGAAGGTGCACTTATTTCTAGTTTTACCAAAGACTTTTTAGGGGCTAGTGGTGGTACTGTGGTCTGTGTTTCACACTCTATTTAGAAATGAGTATTTGTTGAAGTATGCACATTAAGAAGAACATTTACAGCAATATCGCATTTTATATGAGAGTCGCTCATGATTTAGTAGTCCCTTTTTGGCAACCTCTATTGTATAGTACAGAGCCGACAGCCAAAAGAAGGTGAAAGCGGGCCAGTGAGGCAAAAATAAATTGTACAAAGTCTGCGTATTATGTAGAGAGGCGAACCTATTTATTCTGTGCATTTTCTGGCCCATTATCTGTTTTCTAGCCCGGTAATTTATAAGCATTTTTTTTTTTTCAACGTTTATTTATTTTTGGGACAGAGAGAGACAGAGCATGAACGGGGGAGGGGCAGAGAGAGAGGGAGACACAGAATCGGAAACAGGATCCAGGCTCTGAGCCATCAGCCCAGAGCCCGACGCGGGGCTCGAACTCACGGACCGCGAGATCGTGACCTGGCTGAAGCCGGACGCTTAACCGACTGCGCCACCCAGGCGCCCCTCTAGCCCGGTAATTTAAAACAAATAGTGGGGAGCCTGAGTGGCTCAGTCAGTTAAGCCTCTTGATATCAGCATGATCTTATCATGATCTCACCGGTTCGTGAGTTCCAGCCTTGCGTTGGGCTCCATGCGGACAGCACAGAACCTGCTTGGGATTCTCTCTCTCTGCCCCTCCCCCCCCCCAATATAAGTAAGTAAATTTTTTTAAAAAGTAAAAAAGCGGATAGGGAGGGAGGAGGCTGCAATAGTTAAGTAGCCAGCAGAAGCAGGAAGTTATCACAGATAACCAAATGACCAGTGTTGGAGATAGAGCGCTTAAATTTAGAAAAAACAGACACAGGATCCCAAACAAACTCAGATCCCCGTAGATTGGTCTCACGTTGGCAAGCGAAGAGCTATTCCTCGCTCGGAAACGTCTGAGGAGATGGCTGTTTCGCCACAAAACGTAATCGATCGTATTCATAAAAATGACCTGGAGTTAGCAGAACATGTTAAATAGAGTGTATCGAGTCCTCTTTCATGAGAAAGGTTTGTAATATACTTTAGAAAGCTTTTTATCAATGTGTAAAATTTCACAAAATGTCGGTACTTAAAGAGCTTTGAGTGCCCGGTTATAGGTCTACTTAATAAAACGTGCTGCTTTGATAATCTTTGTTACCTACCAAATTCACCTGTGTGAACTGCTGCTTTTTCTAATGATGCCAGCTAAGTGACATTTCTCTAGTCTGATCACACTTCGGGATTGTTTCTAAAAAAGGGATTGGGGCAAGAACAAATACAAAGGTGCTTGCTATAGATAGTCTGTTTTGGGTGTCTTACAGTAAACACTCAAGTACTTGTCTGTAGTGGTGCTTAATTCTTGTCAAGAAATTATTAGCTTATCTGACCTCAAATTATAACAACTGTGAAATTTATGGTTGAAAAGAAATCTCTTAACCTGTAAAGATGTGATATTTTCTACTTGTTGAATTATAGGCTGAAGACTTTAAGTGACAAGTCAAGAGAAGCTAAAGTAAAAAGCAAACCAAGGTAAGCCTGTGCTAAGATTTAATTTCCTGTGATGTAAATTTCATACGACGACGTTGGGGCTCTAGTTGTAATAGTATTGTTACTTTAATGAATTTTGCATTTGTTGAGCACATTTGACTGCAATCTGATTATAATTTTGTTAACACTGGAAAGTTTTCTGATAAAATTGTAAAATGGTTGAGGAAGTGGTGAGATGTAGTTGTATCATTCTAGGACAACCAGTGGTTATTTTATTGTTTGATCACAATTAATCATTTCTGTATATTGAACACAAAGTAAAAGTCCTGCGTTATCGAGAAGCAGATTAATAATGAAACCATACTTGGCAAGGGAGCCTCGTTAGCTGTGTCACTTGACATGTATGAAAACCAGTGTTGTGCAACTTTTTCATTTTTTTTAAATAAGTGAAGCATGACCAAATTTCACTTTCAACCTAGTGATTATGAGCTTTTTATTTTTTTAAATTATTTTTTAATACTTACTCATTTTTGAGAGACAGAGTGTGAGCAGGGGAGGGGCAGAGAGAGAGGGAGACCCAGAATCTGAAGAAGGCTCCAGGCCCTGAGCTGTCAGCACAGAGCCCTACGTGGGGCTTGAACCTGTGAACTGGGAGATCGTGACCTGAGCCAAAGTCGGACACTTAACTGGCTGAGCCACCCAGGTGCCCCGAGATTATGAGCTTTTAAAAAAAAAAATTTTTATCATGTAGTATTTTATTAAAGTGTTCATTGTATTATGTGCTAAGAAGGATCTGTAGGGCAAAGTGATGGATGATAGTACATTACAGTATTTTATTTTATTTTATTGCATTTTGTTTTATTTTATTTATATTATTTTTATTTTTTTCCTAAATGTTTATTTTTGAGAGAGAGTGTGAGCATGAGCGGGGGAGGGGCAGAGAGAGAGGGGGACAGAGGATCTGAAGCAGCCTCTGCTGTCAGCAGGGAGCCTGATGTGGGGCTCAAACTCACGAACCCTGAGATCGTGACCTGAGCTGAAGTCAGATGCTCAACAGACTGAGCCACCCAGGTGCCCCTACAGTATTTTAATTGTGAAATAAAGTAGTACATTTCTCTAAAAGTTTAGGTAAACTGTCATTAGTAATTTAAAAATATTTCACATCATAATTATAATGTCAAAATTCTCATATAGGTTTTTGTTTTTGTTTTTATTTTTAGTCGGCCTAAATCAGAAAGAATTTTAATAAAATAAGTGGGGTTTTTTTTGGCAGGACTGTTCCATATTTGCCAAAGTACTCTGCTGGACTAGAATTACTTAGCAGGTAAGTGTTTTCATTTAAATAACAAGATTATGCTTCTGACTGTTGCCTAAAAATATTTTATAATTTTATAAATAGAAAATGTAAAACAACTAAATCTTACCCAAACATAGTGATTAGAAATTACTTACTTGTTCATTTCCCTGAAGGGTTTTTACTTTTCATTGATTAGTGCAAAGGCCATTCAGACTTTGAGCAGATTGATCACTATTATCTTTGCTCATCAATACTTTATTATGTGTATTTATTATGTTTCTGGTTTTTCTTTTGTAAGAACATTGATTTTTGAATCTGAGTCTTTGATACTTTTTTTACTTTGATTTTTAATTTTACACCATTTCTTCTCGACTCCTCTCCTGTTGGCATGCAGATTAATATTAAAAGGCATGATTTTCTTAGATATGGCAACAAAAGCATAAACAACAGGAGAAAAAAATAGGTAAATTGGACTTAGACAAATTAAAAACCTCTGTACTTCAAAGAACCCATCAAGAAAGTGGAACAGTCCACAGAATGAGAGAAATATTTGCAACTCATATATCGGAGGGATTTGAATCTAGAGTATACAAGGAACTGTGATAACTCAATGATAAAGAAACAACCCAACGAAGGAGAGGCAAAGGACTTGAGTAGATAGTTGTCCAGAGAAGATATAAATGGCCAATAGTCACATGAAAAGATGCTCAGCGTCATTTGTGATGCTCGTCAAGACCACAGTGAGGTACCACCTCACACCCACTAGCATGGCCGTCATCAGAAAGGCGCTAGCAAGTGTCGATAAGGATGTGGAGAAATAGAACTCCTTGCACTGCCGGTAGGAATGGAAAAAATGGTGCAGCTCCTGTGGAAAATGGTTGGGTAGCTTCTTTAAAAAGTTAATCATAGAATTACCATGTGACCTGGCAGTTTCACACCAAGAGAATCGAAAACTCACGTCTGCATAAAAGTGTGTACACAAATGTACTTAGCAGTGTTATTCATAAAGCAGAACTAAGCAGCCTAAAAGTGGAAACAACACGGATGTTCATCGACTGGTGAAGTGTATATTCAGCCACAGAAAGTAGTGGAGTGCTGATACAGGCCACAGCCTGGGTGAGACCCAAAAACATTATGTTAAGCAAGAGGAACCAACACAAAAGTCATGTATTACATCATTCCATTTGTATATAAAATGTCCAGAAGAGGCAGATCCATAGAGACGGATAGATTAGTGGTTGTCAAGGATTGGTGGTGGGGGAGAGGGGAATGAGTAGGGGCTACTAATGAGAGTGGGGTTTCTGTTTGGGGTGACGAAAATGATTTGGAATTAGACGGTAGTGACAGTTGCCCAACTCCGTGAATATGCTAAAAACTACTGATTGCTATACTTTAACAGACTGAGCCACCCAGGCGCCCATGAATTATATACTTTAAAAGGATGTATTTTATGGTATGTGAATTACTTCAGTGTAGGTGTTACAAAAATAAATATATAGTTTAAGTATGTTATGTGCAGTTCTGAACTTAATAACATGTCCTCTGACAGATACGTGGTAACGACGTGTGCAGTGTGAGATCTCCTCCTCCTGATGTGCGTTTATTATGACACAGTCCCCTTTGCCTACATTTTGCTTTCTCTTTTCTGGTCCTTTAGTGGGTTTCTTTTTATGGTTGCTAAATCTAGAGATTTTTTTCTTTTCTCAAAAGTGCTTAACTTGATATTAAATTCTTCTTTGGTTTTGTTGAGTGAAGAGCATAAGTGAGCATGAAAGAAGGTGTAGTAAAAATTAATCAGTGGTGTATTGCTTACATTTTATCCCTATTTTTTTTTTTAATTGAGTGATTTAGTTGAATGAACCTCATTGAAAGATTTATTTTAGAAGTGTAGACTTACGTGTGTGGTAGATTTTTGGAGTGGAGTGCGTCTTGGGCTTAATACGAAAATTTACAACCATAGGAAGATGCCTTTGATGTGTTCATTCAGTGCATTGAAACACAGTCTTTTCTCTTTGGAACTAATAGGAAGTGGAGGAAAGACCATTTTAAATGGCAGATCTCTGTATTACAATTTTTTAACTGTTAAAAACTAATAAAATACACATAACAAAATTTACCATCTTAACCGTTTGTAAGTGTGCAACTCAGTAGTGTTAAGTACATTCGCATTGTTATGCATCCAGTCTTCAAAACTTTCCATCTTGCAGAACTGAAACTCTTTGCCCATTAAACAGTTCCCCGTTGCCCCCTTCCCTGTCTCTGGTGACTGTCATTTGACTTTTTTTTTCTGAATTTGACTACTCTAGGTACCTCATAGAAGTGAACCCACATAGTATTTGTCTTTTTGTGACTGGCTTATTACACTTAGCTTACTGTTTTCAAGATTTACCCATGCTCAAGCATATGTCAGTATTTTCTTTTCAAGGCTGATTAATGTTTCATTATCCATTTTTGTTTTTCCATATTTTTTTTGTTTATCCATTCATCTGTTAATGAACACTTAGGCTGCTTCCACCTTTTAGCTATTGTGAGTAAGGCTGCTGTGAACAGGAGTGTGCAAATCTCTCTTCAAGACCCTTTCAGGTTTTTTGGGTATATACTCAGTTGCCGGATCATGTGGTCATTCAATTTTTAAGTTTTTGAAGAGCCACTCTACCATTTAGATAGCAGCCACATGACTTTACATTCTCACCAGCTATACACAGCACTCCCATTTATCCATAGCTGCAGCAAAACTTGTTATTTTCTGTTTTGGTGTTTTGTTTTGTTTTGTTTTACAATAGTCATTCTAATTGGTGTGAAGTGGTATGTCATTGTGGTTTTGATTTGTATTTCCCTAATGACTGATGATTGTGAGCATCTTTTCATGTGCTTATTGGGTTGTTATCTTTAGAAACATGTCTATTCAAGCCTTTTGCCCATTTTTGGATAGGGTGGTTTTTTGTTGTAATTGAGTTTTAGGAGTTCTGTATGTGTCTGGTTATTAATCTCACATCAGATATGTGATTTGCAAATATTTTCTCCCATCCTGTGGGTTGCCTTTTTACTCTGTGTTCTTTGATGCACAAAATCTTTTAATTTTGATGAAGTCCAGTTTGTCTGTTTTTTGTGCCTGTGGTGTCATCTCCAAGATATCATTGCCAAATCCCATGTCATGAAGCTTTTCCTATTTTTTTTCTAAGACTTTTATAGTTTTAATACTCATGTTTGAATTTTTGATCCATATCATTTACTTTTGTACCTGATGTTAAGTAAGGGCCCAACTTCATTATTTAACATGTGGATATCCAGTTTTCCCAGCTCCATTTGTTGAAAAGACTATCCTTTCCCCATTGCATGGTCTTGCAAAGCTTGTTGAAAATTATTTGACCATGTATATGAGAGTTTCTTTCTGGGTTATTTCACTGGTCTAGATTTCTGTTTTTATAACAGTGGCACACTGTTTTGATTGCTGTAGCTTTGCAGTTTTTTTTTTTTTAAGTTTATTAGAGAGAGAGAGAGAGAGAGAGAGATAGCATGAGTGAGGAAGGGACAGAGAGAGAATCCCAAGCAGGCTCTGTGCTGTCAATGCAGAGCCTAATGCAGGACTTGATCCTATGAACCATGAGATCATGACCTGAGCTGAAATCAAGAGTCAAATGCTTAACTAACTGAACCACCCAGGTACCCCTATAGTAAGTTTTGAAATCAGGAAGTATGAGTCCTCCAACTTTGTTCTTCTTATCAAGGTTGTTTTGGCTATTCAGGGTCCCTTGACATTCCAAATGAATTTTATGATGGATTTTTTTCTGCTTCTACAAAAAATGTCATTGGGATTTTGATAGAGATGGCCTTAAATATTAATCGATTACTTTCTGTTATTATTGACAACATCTTAATGATATTAGTCTTCCAGTCCATGAACCTGGGATATCTTTCCAACAATTTATGACTTCTTTAATTTCTTTGAGAAGTGTTTTGTAGTTTTCATCGTACTAGTCTTTGATCATCTTTCTTAAATCCTAAATTTTTTAATGTTATCATAAATGGAATTTTTAAATTTCTTTTTTGAATTTTCATTTTCAGTATATAGAAACGCAACTGACTTTGTGCATTGATTTTATATTCTGATACTTTGCTGAATTTGTTTATTCTAACAGGGTTTGTTTTTGTGGAGTCCCTAGGCTTTTCTACATTTAAGATTATATCATCAGCAAACATAATTTTACTTCTTTCCTTCCAATTTGGTGTCTTTTATTTCTTTTTCTTGCCTAATTGCTCTGGCTAGATCTTCCAGTACTATGTTGAATAGAATTAGCAAAAGCAGTCATCTTTGTCTTTTTTGTGGTCTTAGAAGAGAAGCTTTCAATCTTTTGCCATCAACTATGATGATAGCTGTGGGTTTTTCATATATGGTTTTATTATGTTTACATAGTTTCCTTTTATTCCGTGTTTTTTGAGTTTTTATCATGAAAGTATATTGACTTTTGTCAAATGCTTTTTCAACATCAGTTGAAGTTATGTATATATTCCCCTTGATTTTATTACTGTGGCATATTACATTGATTGGTTTCCATATGTGGAACCATTCTTGAATTCTAGGAAAAAAATCCCAATAGGTCATGGCATATAATCCTTTCAGTATGCTCCTGAATTCACTTTGCATCACTGTTTATATAGGATATGTCGTTTTATTGTAGTGTCTTTGTCTGGCTTAGGTATCAGGATAATGCTGGCCTTACAATTAGGGAGTGTTCCCTCCTGTTCAGTTTTTTGGAAGAGTTTCAGATGGTTTGGTGTTTTTTAAATGTGGGGCAGAATTCATCAGTGAAATCATCAGGACCCAGGCTTTTCTTTTTTGGGGAGGTTTAAAACATTTTTTTCCCAGTTTTATTGAGATATAATTAGATATGTCGCTGTATAAGATTAAGGTGTACAGTAGTGGTTTGACTTCCATGTATTGTGAAATGATCACAACAACGAGTTAACATCCATCGTCTCAGAGATAAAACAAGCAAAAAAATAAAAATTTTTTCTGTGATGAGAAC